ATAAATTCTTTTAGTTTATGTAACTGAGTCCCGCTAACAAGAAATGTGTTTGTTCCCCGGTAAATGTGCATTCCTTTTGGTGTGGTGCTTAGTTATTTAAACTACTAAATATATGAGATCTTTTTATTCTCATTTTCAAAAAAAATTATTTTTTTTAAAACTAAAATTATAATTATATATTAAATTTTAAGTATTTTCAAGTCAACTGACAAATTCCAATTTGGCGACCAACATACCTATAGGACTTGAACACTACAATTCAAAACTATAAAGAACTATTAATAAGATTAGAAACTAGAAAATACTCATGAACTTATAGAAGTAATTGCGAACACTCAACAAATCAATGTAGATACCCAAGAATCGATTAATGATCATCATAACACACACAGACCATTAAGGAATTACGCTAATCCCACAATAGATGAAATTCATTGAAGTATTCAAAATCCCACTATAGAAGCTAACACATTTGAACTTAAGCTTGCTATTATTCAAATGGTGCAGAATAACTAATTTGGGGGGACCTCATCTGAGGACCCAAATTTTTATTTAGCAAGTTTCTTGAACTTTGCGCTACATTTCGCTATAATGGCATGTCAAACAACATTGTTAAACTTAGGCTTTTTCATTTTCCTTAAGTGTTTGCTTTTTTTATTTTTAAAAAGAGTTACCTTGTCGATTATCGTATTCTTCCCTTATTAAAATAAAGCTCCCGCCCAAATCAGATGAGTGATTCGAAGAGGAAAGGAACCGAATAAGAAGGGACATACAACAAATTGACAAATAAGAGAAAAAAAAAACGTGGAGAGTCTACGTGAGATAAACTCACAAGGATAGGTAAAGAATGTCCGCTCAAACAAGATTGGGCGGAGACACCTTGAACCAATATCTACAAAAGAAGTATCTACATAGACTACCCATAATCAAAGAGTCATGTGTATCTACATATTCTAAGGTCAAGAGCACTCCCAGAGGAACGTATTCCTAGTGGTTAATTACATCTTAGGAATACTTAAGAATACTCTCGATAAAAGGAGTTTCGCTTTATATTATCATGTACCTAGGGCAATAGGTCATCAAAGGAAGGTTATTCCATGTGGGAACACCACAATGCTTCAAAGTTCTCGCAAGTTATCAGGCAGAGTGTGAGCCTCTCATATCTTAAATGGGTAGTGACTCATTGTCATACGAAGCTCACAAAATAACCATAAATCATCTTGACGGGAATATCCCAACACGTCAAAGCATGTCCGACCATAAGGGCAGAGGACAAATCGTCATTTCCCAAATGGGCGGCAGCTTATCGACATCAGGCTGTCAAAAGGATATAGATGAAGTTAAAGGATCGGCTGAGCTCAAAGGGGCTCAATTGTAGGAAGGTAAAGTGTTCTTAAAAAGGTAAAGATAAATGGATCGGGGTAACAAAGATCTATCATACACAGATACTAGGATCTTATGTCTACCTGGTCATGAAGGTAGTCAACCCAATATGTCCTGAGATTCCTACGCAGGAATTCGTGAATTGTGTCATTCACGAGAATCTCGGTAGCCTTAAGGTGAAAGGAAGAAAACTCTATTCTATGACTATAGCAGGAGATCCAAGAGGTGGGACTTATACATGCCGAAGTGGCGAGGATGCCTCAGGAAAGAAGAGAAAGGGAGGTTCAACTATAAAGCTGGAAACACTCCAAACAAAAGGACTTACACTCCGTCTCAGTCGGGGAGCCTTTTAACACCCTAAGTTCACTAGACAAACATCTATATATAAAAGGCATGCTGGGCCAGTCAGGTTGAACAAGCACAGGGGGCTTCTCCTCGGGACATGCAAATATGAATTCAATTATCTAGAGCAGTCATTTAGTATTGTGGAGGACCTATTATATGGCTTGGGTGATATCCTTGCTATGAAAACCATTTAAAATCTTGCTCGAAGGCCGCGCAGGAAAGTAAAAGTGTAATTTTTAAAATTTTGAATATTTTAATCCTAAAAAATCATTTATCTTGAATATTTTATTAGGAACTTTAGAATTTTAAATCCTAAAGAGCATATATTATATTGCGATTCCTAGACAAACCAGAGAAATAAACCAGAAAAATATGCACACATATAGGTATAGGCATGTAATGAAGCAGAATAATAAGCCAAATCAAAATAATAAGAAAGACCGGTGCCGCTAAGTTGGCAACATATCCCAAAAAAGAAAAAGGTAGTCAGAATCTGCATATACATGACCGATCCTAATTTTATAAATCAACATAAAAATACAGAATTAAGATACGGGGCACGAGCATTTGCTCCTGGTTCCCTCCACAAGGTTCCCGCGCCAAACGCCTTGGAACTCGTGCTCATATCTTATTTCTGTAATAAGACTCTCCTAGACTCTAAAAAGTACATGGGAAAAGAAAATACATAATCCTGCATGAAATCAAATTTTAGCAGGCCCACATGCAACGTGTAACGAGCTGTGTCTTATAAGTGTGGGAGTTGAATAACACCTGCAAGCAAAAGGATCAGAAATCATCACAAGCTCCATCATAGTAGTACCTATGTGTGTGCATATAGATGCATGGCTATCTGCAGAAGAACGCCGTAACACACTACCATGCATATGAGGCATGCAGTCATACCAAAACCACAAAGCAAGAAAGATGTCTGTCTAGGGAAAACAATCCAACAAAGAACAATAGGCAGATATCAAAAAAGACTACCTAGCACCCTAGATCATAGCCTAACACACTATCTAACTAAAAGTGTCCTAACGTAGTACCTAAGTGCATGGGGTAAGTCTCTGGCTGTCGTATAACCTTGACGGGGTCGCTACATCGGCCTCGCCCTAAGGATCTAAGGGATCTAGGGCACATTACAAAGAGGGGTGGCATTTAAAAGAGGTGGCCTCACATATGACCTAACTTATATAATTTTAAAAGTAGAACAGATAATACTAAGCAGAAAAATATATATCCATTTTATGCCTTTAAAATAGAGAACCTACAAATGCTGGTATGTGACGCATATGACTCATGTTAGAACCCTTGGATCCTTAGCACGGTCATCCTCATGTCATCCCAATGACTTAAATCACATTGATCACTGGGATCAACCCCACAAGCAATTCTTGTTAAGGCATTGCGAATGATACGGGGTCACTCTCCTAATAAGCAAGACAACCATCGAGGTGAATGGGCAAGCAAACAGTCATGCAAGAAGCCCACATTGTGACCCATCGACTGAAGTACAGGGCAATCACAATGGGGGTGCCCAAAAAGGCAATCACACATCATGCAAATGAATGCAAGGATGCTACATGAAATATGACACAAAAACTGGATGTACCGGTACAACATGCTACCTATAAAGAGAAATTAAACCTGCCCGGGACCAGTGGTGCCATGCAACTAGCACACACCAGTTATAAGTGAGTTTGTATTGAGTAAAATGATACTATAAAAAGTATTCACACTTTACCCAAAAGAAACTCACTGAGCACATATGAAAACATGTAGAATATGCAGCAGACATATGAAAAGTGTATCGAAGTGACAAGGGTGAGTACGTCATGAAGGTAGTGACTCAGAAATTATGGGCATGTCATGTAGGCAGCGGCTAAAAAGATGGGTATGCCAAGAAGGCAGTGACCCAGAGGTGGGCATGTCATGACGACAATGACCCAAACAAACGTTATGTTGAAGAGACAATGACCCGGAAGTGCAGCTTAAGCAAGTGATAATGATCATGAAAATAAATGCACACATGATATGATGCAACATGCAAGCAGACAAGCATACACGTGCACTTACACAACATACAGGTGCACTTACACAACATACAAGGTGATGCAAAAGCATATAAGCATGCAAGTGTTTGATCGACCGGACCGTGGTAGTCAATCAGACCGAAGAAGTGGGTGAATCAATTTAGGGTAACCAATCTAACCCAAAAGGATGGGTGTTCAGCTCGGGACATTCGATTAATTTGAAAAGAGGATCTGAGATTGGTAAAGGGTGGTCGATCAACCCGAAGTGCTCACACAACAAGTAATCACGTGCAAAAATGCAATAAGATGGACCATACACATGCAACACAAAAGCAATGCTTGATGGCACATTGAACTCGTCCTAACGACCTCACGTGGGTACCTAGGGTTGATGCTCTTAGATTTGTGACCTCGCTGCCTCCAACTTTGGTGTGGTTATGTGGAGTGCTTCCCCTTTCATTTCTCATACGAGAAACTCACCACCATTCATAGGGCAGAGTAGCTACAAAACTTTTTTTGCTCTATAAACACTCACGATCTTATATGACAAACTAACTACAAAGCTTTTTCCATCATGTAAGATTGAACTCAACCAACTTCTCCAATGAAAGTTGGGAGCTCTAAAATCGTGGAAATTTAGGATTCCAATCCGGTAAGATTAAGATCTAAGCCTCACAACAGGGAATCACTCAAATTTGGTCAACGATGAGATTCCTAACCTAGGGCTTCTTCTAGGGAAAGCAAAGATCCATCACATAGGCACTTAACTACGTCGGCTCACATAGGTGCACGGACCCCGTGTGGACGATCGAACCCACATGCCATGACCAGACTAAACTTAGGGCTAGCTAAGATTTTCAAGGAATCTCACCGCTGTGATGGTTGCAGACATGTTCTCTTTATGCTGAAGAAGAACCCACGTGTTGAGCCTCTTGTGTCCGTTCTATGCGCCAATGTACTTCGCAGAACATGTATGGAATAACAGAAAGAGCCAATGAGAACAAGAGAGGTATACAAGTACCCAAAATAAACATCATAGCATATGAAAATACGACCGACACTTACCTTTGAAAAAAGGTTGGACGGGAACATGTGAAAGGTCGCAATTGGGTTCCCAAAAACTAAGGCATCACCATAAGAAAAATCTAGAACCCTTCCACCCATTTACATCCATTGTTCCGGGTAGGAGTAGCTCGAAACATAGATTAAAATAGGAAGTTTGTATCTCTACATGCGACAAACTGAGAGGGAGGTGCGGGACCAGCCTCATAGGGTGTTGCCTCAAAGGGGCAAGGATCAGGCAGAGGAATTCTACGCGAAGGAGGTCCAGACAACTGAGGCCGGCTGTAGGAGATGGATGCTGACAATAGAGCTTCCGATGAGAAGAGGCATCAACGAGCTAACCAGATTCATATGAGATGCCAAGAAAAGAGGGGAAAGGGTGCCAGCAAAGAAAACGTCGTAGGAGAGGTGGTACTTGCGGCGGGGGCGACACGGCCGAGCATGTCAGCGAAATTGCGGACCGCAGAAGATAGTTGTGCCATCTTCCTGGCTTAGGGCATCAGGATTTTCATGAAAAAGCCCTAGGGCACGCGATCTTGAGAAAGCGGCTGACGTGCGTGAGTTTAAGTGGAATTTTTCCTTTTTTTAATTATTTTATTAATAAAATTATTAATTATTTAAAATCTCTTGATTCACGCATTTTTTGCACGTTCACAGAACCCCAAGAATATGTGTCATTCCTCGGTAAAATCGACGTTCCAGACGCTCTTGCACAATTCGTTTCGTCACCGGAGTCATCCAAACAAATTCCTCGGTGAATGAGCCAATTTTTGCAAGTTTCGCTTAACGCGGCAAATAATATTTGTCGGTCCAATCTGAGTAGTTTGACGAGCAAAATGTTGACCGACCTTTGCCTAAGCAAAAGCCAAAGCCTAGCAGGATGACCCTGGCTACGTGTCCCTCAACATGCGTCGGAGGGTCCCAATCGGATGTCTTGAGCAACGAGAAACAACATATGCATGAAGCATGACCCTGATGAACTCAAGTAAACATCCCACACATGTGACATAAAAATTCATGCCAATAGTGGTAAAGCCAAAATGTGTTAAACTCATTAACATCTTGATCAATTAGGACATGGGGTGACTTGGCCTAAAAAATCTTAGCTAAGTATTTCCCACCTTTAAAAAATGTTAAACTTAGGAATGATATTACTTTATTTTGCTAATTAGAAGGTGAGTCAATATATGAGGTTTGGGAATGATTTAAGAAACTTCTTTGGAAGAGCCCACATCATTCACTGCCCGATTGGCTAATTATACAGACTTATTACATTAGTTTAGTAGGATCCCTAAGATCTATTATAGATGTTGTCACTGGTGGTTTGCTTATGTCCAAGCCATTTGATAAGGCTTATTCTTTGATTGAAGAGATGACCACTAATAATTTTCACTAGTCCTCTGAAAGAGTAACCTTTGGAAGGTAGCTAGTGTACATGACATAAATGTGCTTTTGATTCCAACTTCTCAGGTAGCAACTATATCTAAGAAGGCAGACCAATTCAGAATGAACCATCCTCAAGTATCTCTAGTAATTGAGAAAATTTCATTTGAACAAATGATTGATTTTAACACTTCATCATTTAAAACTTTAAATCTGATTAACAATAGACCTAAAAACCCTTATTCTAATTTCTATAACCTAGGTTGAAAGAACCATTCTAACTTTAACTTGAACAACAAATCTGGTGGGGAAAATTAACAATGGGGAAATAACCAGGCAAATTTTTTTAGGAAATTGGAATAAAGTTAGTACCAACTATAGACCTTCTTATCCTCTAGGATTTAACTCTCACCCCCAATTCGAGAAAAAGAAGTTGTCTTGGAAGGAGGTTGTATTGCAGATGGGGAATCAATTGTAAAGTCAAGATGCAACTATAAGGAACATAAAAAACCATCTTGGACGGATTGCTAATTTATTGAGCAATCGACCCCAAGAAACTCTTCCTAGAAATACTGAGATTAACCATAAGGAGAAGAATAGTGAGCATGTGGAACCTATCCAATTAAAGAGTGGAAGAGAGTTGGAGGATGTAATTCAGAAAGATTTTGAAAGTGAAAAGGAGGCTACAAAACCTGAAAAACCTTTAGAAAATGTTTTCAAAGACTTAGAGAAACTTGTCTCTACAACTTAGATTAACTTACAAAAACCATCAACTTCATTTCCTCAAAGAATTCAACAATAAAAACTGGATCAACAATTTTAACAATTTTTGGAACTATTTAAGAAGCTGACTATTAATATTCCTTTTGTTGAGGCTCTGAGGCAAATGCCCAGTTATGTAAAGTTCATGAAAGACATCCTTAACAAGAAGAGGAAGTTTGGAGATTATGAGATAGTTGCAGTTAGTGAAGAGTGTAGCACTATAATTTAGAAGAAGCATCCTTATAAACTTAAGGATTTTGGGATCTTTACTATCTTTTGTGCAATATGAGAAAGATTTTAAAAAAAATATTTATGTGGTTTTGGAGCAGGTATAAATCTTATGTCATTGTCTATCCTCAGAAGGTTAGGATTAGGAGAAGTGTCTCTACTACTCTAACTCCTTAGCTAGTTGATCGATCGATCACTTATCCAAAGAGGGTTATAAAAGAAGACTTAGTTAAGGTGGATAAGTTTATCTTCCTTGCTGATTTCATTGTGTTGAATATAGAGGAAGATAAAGAAATTTCCATAAATTTTCATAGTTTTTAGGTAGACCTTTCTTAGCCACTAGACGAGCTATGATAGATGTGCAAAAGGTGAATTAATTATGACGCTAAATGATCATGAAATTACATTCAATTTCTTAAAATCTATGAAGCATCCTTCTAAAGGAAATGAAGATGTGTGTTTTCGGATGGACTTAATTGATTATTTTTTGTAGTAGTCATAGTCATTTCTGAGAAAGTAATAAAGATAAATTTGTAGAGCCAAATTTGGATGAAGAGGTTACAGAGCGAGATGAATAAATTCTATTGATTACAATGATTTAAAAATTTGTTCAGGAGACGTTTAAGATTTTAGATATGATAAAAATTAGTAAACCTCTTATTCCTTCTCTTGAGGAGTCCCCTGAACTTGAAATGAAGGAGCTTCCCACATACTTAAAGTATGCTTACTTGGGAAAGTCATCTACATAGCCAGTTATCATATCCTCAGATTTGACCCATTCACAAGAGGACAAATTAATAAATATTCTGAGGAATTATAAGATTTCTTTTGGATGAACCTTAGCAGATATAAATGAGATTAGTCCCTTTATTGGTATGCATAGGATCCTGATGGAAGATAATCATAAACCCAAACAGATCCTTAAAGAAGATTAAATCTAATTATGAAAGAAGTAGTTAAAAAAGAAATAATGAAATGGTTAGATGTAGGTATTACCTATCATATATCAGATAATGCTTAGGTTATTCCTATTCACCGTGTTACTAAGAAAGGTGAGTTACGATGACTGTTAGTGAATAAAATGAATTAATTCCATTAGACATGTCACTGGATGGCATATATGTATATATTATAGAAAATTAAATTCTGCCACAAAGAAAGACTACTTTCCTTTACCCTTTTTGGATCAGATGTTAGATAGTTGGCCATCCATGTTGCTTCTTAGATGAAAATTAGTTAAAGTTTATCTTTTTGGTGCAATTAAGATTAAATATCTAGGGAATGGTAGAGTATTTAAAGTGAATAGTTAGAGATTTAAACTCTACTTAAGAGGTGAGAGACCATTGATAAATAAGGTCTTAATGTTGGGTCAACCTAAGTAGATATTTGAATCTGTCGGGCCGATAACGTTAAACCAAGCGCTTATTGGGAGGCAATCCAAGTTTATATTTTTTTTAGTATGTTGTATTTGTTGTTTTTTGTGGTGTGGATTGTTGATATTTGTGTGTTGATATTTAGCTTTGTGAGTGTTTTGATTTGATTAGGATTGTGTGGAGTGAGGGAGGCAAATCCTTAGTCTTCTCATTGTGACTGGACTTTAGTAAGTTCTCTGGAACTAGAAGGATCAACTATATCCTCTACACCTTAGTTCTCAATTGAATTTAAGGATTTATCAGAGGCATGTTGTGTTTGGACATAAGACTGGTCCATCTCAGTTCTCCACTACCTATTCTGATCCTACTCCTATCATGTTGGTTCAGTAGACAAGCTATCTTAGAAGCTTGTGGATGATCTTTTTATTAAACTGTTAGTGATGCATACTTTATTGGACAGTAGTACTTAGGTTTGGTAACACATAAGCCAATAGTAAAAGTGCTATTTGGACCTAAATATATTTACAAAAATATTTATAAGCATTTGACCGTTGAATAAAAATTTATTTTCTTGGAGATGAGGAAGTGGAAAGGGAGATGTGATGAGAAGGAGGATAAGTGGCCCTCATTTATCTTTAGTGTTTATGTGTTTATTGGTGTGATGAAGGACTTGGGAAGGATCAAAAATTGAATTTAAAAGACCAAGACCAAATTTCGCTCGAGCACATTGGCCCCATGCCTTTGGCACCAAAGTGTCAGGAGCTAATTTTTCACTTAGACACCAATATAAACCTGTGCCAATGCACCACACTAAAAGTAATGGTTCTTCCTTCTTCTGTGATTGAGAGGCGATACTTAGGGTTCTTCCTTCCATTCCATTTTTGATCGATTCCTAAATATTTGGAGAGTAGAAACCACTTACCTAAGGTAAATTTCCACTCCTCTTGCATTTCTTTTCTTCATCCAGAGAACTTTTTGGGTTTTTGAAGGATTGTGAAGAAGGGGGAATTTTGTGGGTTGATTTTGATTAAGCCCATAACAAGCATCTAGTATGCATCTACATTATTCCTTCACCTCATTTCATTGCATTGTTATTATTATACTTTTTCTATGTGATATGCATATATGTAAGACATGACTGTGGGGATTGATGTTCTTGTTAGAAAACCAGATGTGTTATGCCAAAATCGAAAAGAATTGATGGAATTTTTTATGAGATGCAAAAAAAAAAAATCAAATAATAAAACCATTCTAAGGCTGGAACAAACCGAATTATAGGTAGAACCTGGCGGTAAAATGGATAGATGGAGGTAAACCTTGACCCAATGCTCAATGCAAACAAGAACGTTGGTATAAGACCGTCACCCTATGCTTGACGTGAGGAAAGAACTTTGGTACAATGGAAGACGCCACAAACGGGGTGGAAATCTGCTTGATAAGTTGAGAAAGAACTCCTTAGGCGATAACCTAGAGTTCTGTTGGAATCCTAAGGAAACTGTGGGAGACAACCCAAATGTAAGTTTTTTTTGGTAAGAATCAAAAGTCCCTTTCTCATTTGAAGTAAGGCCTATATATAGGCTAAAGCTTACAAGCAAACAAAAGAAAAGATAAAATATCTTCTAAAATAATGAAAAACTACATCAACTTGGCATGCAAGCCATTATTAAACTGCAATAAGAAATACAAAATATTCAGCAATAATAATATAACTTCTTTACCTTTGGGCTTGGAATAAG